CCTCTCTCTCTCTCTCTCTCTCTCTCTCTCTCTCTCTCTCTCTCTCTCTCTCTCTCTCTCTCTCTCCTTTTAAGTGTGTAATTTTCTCAGTTCCAAACTTGAGGCCATCAGCCCCCAAAGTGAGAACAGGGCCCCCTTCACACCCCTCCCCAGTCATTCTAAACAACCAGAGAAAGGGCTTCGCGACTCCTCAAGAAGGCCCGAGGCCAACTCCCTCCCTGGAGGAAGACGGTGACAATTCTGCTCCAGGACGTCCATCCTTCAGAAGGCGGGGAAGCTGGTCCTCCCGCAGACCTCGGCCCTGCCACGCGGGCTCAGCCTGGAGCCACCCTGTATCTCTGCCATCTGGATTTCGGATCATTTCTTTAAATGATTCTAAATATTTTGATCGGTAGAAGCAAAAAAAGCCAAAGAGATTTCCACAAGAAGGGGACCATGAAGTCGCAGTACATCTCCACCATGGAACTTGAACCATCTGCACAAAACAACAACTGAATATGAAATACGGTGATGTGGCCACGGGCCTCCGAGGTTAAGTAGATAAAAGCAGGTGATTCCATCATAGGTCCCCATAATGACAACCATATAACAGTGTGTGCAGAGTGACCAATGACAGTTAGCGTTTATGGGCCACTTACTGCAGCAGGCACTACCCTGGGTGCCTTGGCGCAGGTGAACATTTCCCAGCGAGGTAAGTATTATAAGTCTGCTGGCCCCTCCTCTGGACAGCAGGAAATGGAGGCTCTAGGAGGGTATAGAATTTTCTGTATCCCTCCCAAAGGCTAAGGTTTGAAACATTCTGGAAACTGTTGCAAGATCTCATGGCCCCCTAAGGAGAGAGAAGGGGCTAGAATTTGGACATAGATTATCTTTCTCCSATGCTCCCGCTCTCCACACCTAGACTGGAAAGGAATAGGTAAGAAAATTAAAATGAAAGCTAAATTTCTGGGGGAAAAGGGACATTTCCCCCTTCCCCTTTATTGTCTAAACTTTCAAGTGTTCTGTTTTTGCAATTTAAAGCCAAAGAGAGGKGAGGGAGGGAGAGGGGCAACAGAAGATGAGGCTGATGTATGTGTTTGTGTGTATGGTTTTTTTTTAAATTATGTTTTGATCAAAAGACTAAATAAATGCCAGTCAAGTCTTCACCAGACTTGGGGGCGGAGGGAGGGATGGAGGGTAGCCACAAGTGAGTCTGATCCAAACCAAACCAGGCAGCTCCAAGCAGCGGCTGCAACTGTCTTTTATATATAYATWTTTTTWWAAAAAACATTCTCTGTCCACCTCCTCATCCGTCTTGAGTATGAATACTAAAATCATGGGACTGTAACCACAGAAGGCACAAGAATATCCTAGAAGTCACCAACATCACACAGCTGCTGTGGACAAAGCTGGGAATGAAACTTTGGTCTGAGTCCCTCATTTTGCATCTCTTCACAAACCCCTTGTAGGACAGATACGCCCAGCTGGCAAGTGCCAATCTGCATTCATCTGTAGGAGTTCAAAACACTCCCTACCCCCAAAGTGGCAATTCCACATACTTATATCAGGTTTAACAGTCCTTAAAACTAGGCRAAGATGGAGCTCACACTCTCAATCYGACTCGAAACCCAAATTACCAAATGTTACACTTCTCGCAGTTTTGCAGCCACGCTAGTTATGGGAAAACACTGAAATAGAGACAATACTTTTCAGAAGCAACGGTGGGGAAATATATATATATTAGGTCCTGCAATTCATTCAGAAAAAAAAATCACAAGCCATCAACAAAGTGAAATATTCTCCCCCCAAAACACTGGCCCGGTTTTTCCTCTCTAAAACTCCKCTGAAGAACRGGAGCAGGCATGGGGGACACCAGGWCCCTTTGCCAGGGGAGGATCCAGTCKCCATGCACAGCCCAAGCACAGCCCTAGGCTCCCAGGGGTGGCCTCCAAACCCAGGGCTCTTCCTTTGAGTCGGACAGGGCCTCAAGTCCCAGGAACAGCGACGCTAAAAGTTCACTTCATTATTCTGTCCTTGGCCACTTCCTCAGCTGGCTTCCAGACAGACGGCAAGTTCAGAACCAGAACACGCAGTTCTCCTGCCAGAGGCCACATGGCTGGGTTCCTGAAGCCCAGGAAAAGAGCCAAGAACCACTGTCCACTTGGCGGTCCCAGGGCATCCCCCTCCAACAATCCTGTTGGGCACAGAGCATGACCACTGACACCCTGAGCCTCTAAACCCAGACCCCYGTGCCACCTGCCTCCTTTCTAATAGATTACCCCCGACTCCAATCACACACGTTCCAGGAGCACAAGGTAAGGAAGAGGCTGGATTAGGAGGTGGGGCCAGGAGGGTCACAAGGGCCACCAGAGCCTGGCGGTGCCCATTGGAAGGTGATGCCCCTGTGAAGGCCCAGGACATACCCATTGGCAGAGAGAAGGGACGAGGGGGCAAACGACTCCCGAGTCAGTACCCACTCCCTGCTGGACACTGCGTGATGTCACACCTCCTGGAATTGTCAAGAAAACTGCACCATGTCCTGTGGCCAAGGAGGTGGCAGCATGGAAAGCCCTGGCTCTGAGGCCAGAGCTGCGACTTCCAGCTCTGAGACCCRGAAGCTGCATGAACCCCAGGGTTCTCAGAGGGCTGGCACGTAAAGTGAAGGGGACAGCAGAGTTGGGGCCCCACCTCCTCACTCAGAGCCTCCTCTGCTCTCCCGAGTCGAGGCTCCACCACCATCAAGGTCCCTGTTTCTGCACAAACCATGCTGCTCTGAGACCCAGGGACACACAGGGCAGGGCGGGACAGCCAGCCAGAGCCCTGACCCCACTGGGCTGCAGCAAACAGGGTGCAGGGTGGAAGCCGGATCAGGGGCTCCTCCCCCRCGGGCCCCTGAGTTCACCCACCCCACCCCCACCCACAGCCAAGGGCAGGGCCACTCACGGCACTCCTTCTCGTCACTCTTGTCGAAGCAGTCGGGCAGCCCGTCACACTGCCAGGCGCCCGGGATGCACCGCCCGTTGCCGCACATGAAGTTGCCTGGAATGTTGCACTCGTTGGTGAAGTTGTTCCCGGGAAGCAGCTGGCTCTCTGCGGGACAGAGGGGACAGGGGGTCAGAGGGCACAGCAGCCACAGCAGCCAGGGCCTGAGCCCCCTCCCGGCTGAAACTGCCCAGGTGAGGCCTCCAGGAGATGTCTTTGCCCCTCTGGGCCTCGGTTTCCTTGCCTGTGATCTGCCCCAGCTCACCGCCGAGGACCTTGGAAGGGTGACATGGAAAAATCTGGGGAAAGCATTTGGGTGTCTGGCCACAAAATCAGTGCTTCCTGACTTCTTTCTTTCTCAACATCCAAAAGACGGGTTGGAAAACCGAATGTTCTTTCCTAGCCAGCAGCAGCGGCGACAATTAAAGTCCCAGATAGGAGTGCACTGGACTCCCCGAATCTCCAAGGGCAGGAAGCGCACGATCCTTCCAGGCGCAGAGCCCTTGAACTTGGGCCAAGCTGGCAGGGAGACCAAGGCACGGCTTCACTCAAGGAAACAAGATGCTCAGATCGGCACCCCAACCTGCCTGAGGTCTAATGGGGAGGACGGGCCAAGATGGAACTTGAACTCAGGCCTTCTAACCCCCCAAGAGGCTACGCAGGTCGCTACGCTTGGCTGCCAAGAGTTACCGGAGATTCAGAACCCAGCCCCAGAGTTCAGGTTCAACGCCACTGAATAGAGTCATAGAGTGCCAAGGCCTCCACCCGACACCACCCTCAGGCAAGAAAACAAACACAGAGGGTGTTTCCATGGCAGTGGGACATGGTCCTCATCTGACACTGAACCCTCATCTGACAGGATAACCCTGGGGGCCAGGATCCGATGGGTTGGATCAGTCTGAGCCGGTGTGATCAATGACGGACGGATAAGGAGCCATCTGGAAGTGAGACAGTCTTGGGGAGAAAGGAGGGGAAAAATGGCCATTCCCTCAGCACTCCTGTCGCTCCAGGGCTCCCTCCCGAGTCATTCAGTAAGCACTTACTGGACACACTGGCCCGGACGTGTGCTATGTCCCCAAGACAAAGGCGCAAGGCTGGGATCCTTTGGTCAGCTGGACAGGCRGAGAGGCACACAAAGGGTTTCACTCCTGTAAAGGCCTCTACCCTTTGTAGGTGCTGGTGTCTTACCTGGAATGCCCCCCCCCCACTGGGTCTCCTGCTAAGTCCCCTCACACCCTTCAGCAGGCACCTCCTGAGCAACCTTCCTCCAGATGTGTCCCTGGCTTCTCCCAGCACGGATAAGCGCTTCCCCGGTCGCCTGCTGATGCTGCTTGTGGGGTGAGACTCAGAGTATTTGATAACAGGAACAAGCAGACATGACCAATTGGAAAGGACCCCACCACGGGCTGGCGGCACCATGTCAGCTCTGGCTCGAGGGCTGGACATTCCCTCAGAGACCCTCTGCCCATCGGGGCCAATACTGCACACCCCGTCTCCCTACGGAGAGCTCCAGAAGAGAGGCTAGAGCAGGGCTCCGCTCTGCCCAACTACCCACATCAGAACCCAGAAATCTCACTTGTCCCTTCCTCACTGCTCTGCCCCATCACCGAGCTGCTGTCGCCATGGCGGCCACTCCAGCCCAAGCAGCCACCTTCTCTTCCTGGGATTTCTGCCTACCTCAACCTCAGGTCTCCCTGCCTCCTATCTCGCCTCTCTCCAATCCAGTCACCTTCCTGTGGCTGAAAGGATCTTTCTACACAACAAATGGAACGTGTCACTATTTTACCATAAAAGTCACTGAATAACCCCCAGTTTCCTTAGTCAAAATTCAAGGGAATCAAAAAAGATTCCAGCAAAGAGGTGACATTTACGGTGGCTGCTAATGGGTACACAGACATTAAAAATAAGAGCTCTTTAGGCCTAGAGAACAGCACCAGCAAAGACATAGTGAGGGAAGGGGCAGCCCAGGCCACAGAAAGGTCTGGAATAAAAAATGCACATAGCTCTGCTGGGACTTGCCAATGTATTTGTGCTACTATTTCTACCACCCAATCAGACATCACTAATCAATCCCCACACCCTGTCCCATTGAGCCCAGGCTCAACATTAGAGTCCCTCTTGAAAACAACTCCAGAAAGTCATCATCAACCCCAAGAAGAGCATGAAACCAAGTCACTCTCAGGGGGTGTGACGGGGAGGAAACTAGAGGGGCATCCAGCTGCTGGATCCCTGCCCAACACCAAAGGCTCAAACCAGAAACGACATACATCCAGCTGTTTCCTAACTCCTGCTCCAGGCTTCACAGCAAGCAGAGCGCTCTGCGGAGCTCCGGAATGCAGAACCGTCTTTCTGTTTTGTTTGGAATTCACTTAAACTTGCTTTTGTAGYGCTCACCCCCTCCTCGAAGGCAAGCCCCCTGGAAAAGTCTCACGACAACTGTGAAATCTTGTTCTGATAAACAGATTTCCGGAACCAGAAAATTGGCCAGATTAGATTCCACGGTGCGTGCCATACGAGTCAATAAATCTGGCAGCACATGGACTTGACAAATGAATGGGTGGATGCAGAGACTAAATACCACATCCATTATCCACAGGTGGCCCTGCCAGCCGCGGGCTCCCAGGCCTGGTGAAGGTAAGAGAGAGCCCACATCTCTGTGCTCTTCTGGGCAGCGCCATGCACGGGGACACACAGCCGGTGCTTTAGAGAAGTGACAGCCTCAAACTTGACATAAGGGGAAATCAAGGAAAAGAGACGTCAAACCCCGCTGATTCTTCAAAAGCTTCCTCAAATCCACCCAATCTGCTCACGGAACTGGCACCGTCCTAAGTAAGCCATCACCGTCTCTTGACCCGTTTCAACCAGTGGTTCCAGATAAGGGACAATCGTGACCCCCCAGGGAACAAATGTCAGTGTCTGAAGATGGTTTGAGGTTGGCGGGACTAGGAATGGGAGCCGTTAGCATTCAGCAGGTAAAGACCAGGAGTGTGGCTAAGCCTCCTGGGGTGCCCAGGGCAGCTTCCCACAGCAGAATCTCCAGCCAGAAATGCCAATCATGCCGAGGCAGAGGAACCCTGGTTTAAGCCCATCTGCCAAATGCCACTTCTCACGCCCTCTAGTTCCTTCTCTTCACACAGAGTGAGGTTTTAAATGCAGCTGGTGATTTCTCTGGCCTTAGGATGAATACGGAAAAAAAAAAAAAAAAAAATCCTCCTGCCAGGTTTACAAAGCCCAGCCAGACGCCACCCATGCCCACTCCTGGACCTTCCTTTTGAACCCTTCCCTTGATCACACCAACGTCTTCTCTGCTGAGAGGCTTCCTATGTGCTGGCTGCTGACCCCCGAGACGCTTTGGTCCCTCTTTTGCCTGATATTAAGGGCCAAATTTTGTCCCCCAAAATGTATATATATATTGAAGTCCTAAACCCTAATACCTCAAGATAACTGTATTTAAAGGCAGGGTCTTTAAACAGGTAACAGAACTAAAATGAGGTCATTAAAGTGGATCCTAACTCAATATGATCAGCATCCTTATGGGAAGCGGTTAGGACAGGAACATGCACAGAGAGGCCTCGTGAGGGCACAGGGAGACCAAGAGGGCCAGCCAAGGAGGGAGGCCTCAGAAGAAACCCACCCTGCTGCCAGCCCCTTGACCTCAGGCCTCCAGCCTCCAGAACCATGAGACAATGAACTCCTGTGGTTTAAGCTCCTCTGTATCATGGCAGCCCCTGCAGCCCCATCCAACCTGTTCACCCTCAGACCTCAGCTGAAGTCACAAGTCAGAGATTCCACAAAAATGAAGCTGGCCCCCTGCCTTTCCCTCTGGTCTTGTTCTGAGTTCTCCCCACCTTATGGGTGCATTTCCACTAACCCCCTCAACCAGACAACGCCCCCTGTAGGCAGAGGGGCACCACGTCACTCAGCGCCTCGGCCCAGGCAGTGCCACTGTACAGGACTCCAGTGAATATCTGTAACCACCCTAAGAAAACCAAGCATGGTGTCACTACCTCCTTCCCCATCTCCCACACTCTTCCTTGCAAAAGTCCACCCCCCGCCCCTTTGCACCATTTCCCCAGTATGCAAGTGGGATCTGCACACAGATAGCTAAAACAGGGGACATGGGCATGTCTAGACTTACACCAGTAAATCTCTACCCTGTCCGCTTTAAAAAGAGGCTAGAAATCTTTTCAGGCCGACGCAGGACTTTCTAGTGGCTGAAATATTTATCCCATCTCAGTATCTGGGGACGCATTTAGAATCCAAAAAAGACAAGCATTAGCACGGAGCTGGCTAGTGGGGTTTCTCCTCCTCCCTTTTTTTTTTTTTCATTAAGCTGAAAAATGAAAAAGAGTTGCCCATTTTCACTGCAGCACATCACTTACTTAAAATAACTACCCCATCTGTAGCAAGAATGAGGAAAAAAGGAAATCCAAGTCCTCCCCCATTGGGCTACGGCAGCTTCTTCCACAAATTTATACTTGACGAGGGGCCCGGGCTGGGGCACCTACACAAACCCCAACAGCTGCTGCATTCCACCGGAATCATTCCAGAACCCGCAGTGAGGGATGTTAACTTTTCCAGCTGAGAAATGGGAGCTCCATTCCACCAGCTGGATCCTCTGGATTCTCTCCTCTCCCTCTGCTCCTCTTCTCTCCCTCGGGGTACCCTCGAAATGGTGCAATTCAGAACTGACATCTGCAAACCATCCACAGGCCCCGATTTCAGCTTTCTGCTCCATCCTTTGCATCCTCATGGTCTGCGCTTGTAGCCTCAACCAACAGCAAAGCAAGACACGAGAACGTACATGTGTACAGACGTACACGCGGCTTAGCATTCAATTTTGCAGATCTCTAACAGATCTTCCCTAAAACCTCCCCAGAGAATTAACAACCTCTTCCAACTGCCTGGTGCCAACAAACACAGTGTTATGAGACCACCGAAAGAAACCGTCTGTTTTCCCTGGGACTTGCATCTTGAAACATATGCGCCCGTGTGTGCACACACGTTCACACACACATCCACACGTGGGCACAGGTAAAGCCACCAAGGGAGCTGGTCTGGGATGATTTGTCTGTAAACAGTGAACGTCCCTAGAAAATCCTGAGGCC